AGTATGCTGGCATTACTAATCTTCCTACTTGAAGAGGAGTACTGCATGATTCGTGTGCTTGAGTTTCCATAGGCATCTGCAGCTCACTGTTACACAGGAGAGAGGACTGGACAGAGCCTTGCACTGACCAAGTGTGACTGCCTTGCTCCTGCCCTGCTCACAAGGCTCTTTACTGATTGAAAACAGTTGTGTTTCAGGTTGGGGCTTTTTTAACCTCTGCTCAGGAGTCAACTTTTTCTAGTACATAAAATACTTCTACTATTAAGCTTCAATATAAGACTTAGAGTTGTTTGAAACCGGTTTTAGTGTTTGTTTCGTGCAGTTCAGTTGGAGGCTGCGCACGTGTGTGCGCACAAACAGGCACTGAGTCGTAAGCCTTGCAGTTCTCAGTGTTGGCATAAAATGTTCTGCTTGGAGCTGATGGAAAAGTCTTACCCTGTTCCTGAAGTGAAGTGCTTTCCTCAGAGATGTGCAGTGGTGCGATGGCACATGGAGCACTGGTGCAGGCAGATGTGAATGGTTCTGAGTTGTGGTGGGAGCAGGGAGTTTAAGGAAACCCTGATGGTTTTTGCCTGACTGATGGGGTTGCTCTCTGTTGCTTTTACCACTCTGTTAAGTGAAGTTGATAAGCTTTGGCAATTTAGTAATAGCTTACTTTGCAGCATGTGTTCTTGTATGTCAAGTGATGATTGTGCAGAGCTTAAACCATATCTTTTAAAAGACAAGATGACAGAGTAAAATAAATAGTTACACAAATAGCACTTATATGAAGGAGAGGTAAGGAGTGTAATCCATAGCAGAGTCTCTTCCTATGTACAGCTGGGTATGTAACAGCTCCAATATATTCCTTTACCTTTTGCCTTCCCAGGCAATAATCCTCCTGGATTCAGGCTGTGTTGTTTCGTACTTTGCTTAAAATAGTAAAGAAATAGATATATAGCCCTGGGCTCCAAATAGTTTTACAAATGTCTGAACAATGATCTGTTCAGAGAGAAATACCTGTTTAAGAATGTAGCAAAACTTGTCCGTAACAAGCAGATCAAAGAGTCTGTAAACGCAAATAAAAAAAAAAAAGGGTGAAGTGGGTCAGATGCATGACACAATTTTGAGATAAGCTGTTGATAAGCCACTGCTGCAAATATTTGTCTCTGAAACAATGTTATAAGCTGGTGGTTGACCCAGAAGGGAACCTGAGGTCACTCTGTGGTTGAGGTCTGAGTGGTGGCGTCACAGCTGGCTGTCCTCCGCAGAGCGCTGGGTGAGGCGTGCATGGGCCAACGGCAGAAGGTTTTCAACATGTTCCTGTAAGTCAGAGGCAGTTGATGAACTGGAAAATATTTCTACCTCATTATAGGTTGAGCAAGGACGAGTGAACAAACTGCGCTTTCTGGGGCTAGGGTGAGATGGAAAATGCAGTGAGAAAATTTCCTTTAAAGGAGCCAGTGACGCGCGTTTTCTTTTTCCTTTCAAATGAATTGACTTGTGCTCAGTTTACATGATTCGGTTTACGTGTGTTCTCACAGGGCCTCACAACCCACATTGAGATAGGAGCACCTCTGAGCTAGGTTTGCCCACAAATGACAAACAGTGACCATCCATGTGGCAGGTAGCAATACGGTGGCAGAGAACAGACAAAAACTGTGTGCCAGCTTCATACAGAGGATACCACAGCAGTGTTAATGGCTAAATGGAAAAGCAAAAATCCCAGGTGTACCTTCGCCTCACAGCTAAAAACCTTTCCCTCGAGGCTGCAGGATGACCATCTCAGCCTGTCCATAGGTATCATTATTTCTGATTTTACTCCTTTTTCTACTTACAGAAAACAGACTTCAGTTCTAGGCTTATACTCCATTCCCTAAGTTTAGCTCTTGCAATCTGAATTAGACCTGCCCAGCATGTTTGCAAGGTCAGTGCTCTTGGAGAATGCAGTGGAAACTTGTTTGGAGAGAACTGGAGAGAACTGGAACAATTTCAGTTTGTGCTGGGAAAAGCTGCTTCATGTGGGATGTCTTCAAGGAGGAATTATAGAAATAACACTTACTGTCAGCCAGAGTGAGTGGATAAAATTACAAAAAACTGGTTTGTATTCCAGTACCTGAAGATGTAAAGCTTTTCTATTACAAGTTTACATGGAGAACAGTAGTTTGAAACAGCTATCCTTCTGTGGTTTATGAATTGGAAATCTGTTGGTTTTTTTTTTTTACAATGATAGAAAAACTTCTGACTTGTCAGAAGGTGGACAGGCATGTAGATCTTGCTCTTTCTCTCCTTATGGATGCTTGATAGGGAAGGTGGCGTGATTCATGTACAGAACCTGTGCGTTAAGGCTACCTGCTGAAATCCCATTGAAATGAGAGTTGCTGTTCCAGGACTGACTGAGAACAAACGTAAGATTAGACACTATGGTTTTTCATCCTTCTCTGAGAAATGTTTTTTTCACATGTTGTGTGAAATGAGCCTTTTCCCTTAATTGGTATATGACCTGTGAAATTGTTTCATATAAGCAGTTACATCTTACAGTAAGTGTAAACTCAGTCCACTCAGCAACAGTGTTCTTGCCTCTCAAACTGTTGAACAGATCAATTTTCCACAACTGGAATACTGTCATGGATGGCTGTGTATTTTATAGGAAAGACAGGCCAGCAAGATGAAGTGGTGGAGTTGGTTTTAATGTGAGAGAACAACTGGAATATACTGAACTCTGTCCAGAGCTATGGATGAAGAACAAGTTGAGACTGTATGGGTCAGAACTGAGGGGCAGGCTAACATGGGTGACACTGTTGTGGATGGGTGTTTATGGCAGACCACCTGATCAGGAAAAGGAAGTCAAGGCTGCTTACAGTAGCCTCACAATCACAAGCCTTGGCTCTTATCTACCACCTTCTTCAACCACCCTGACATCTGCTGGGAAGACAACACAGTTGGGCACACGCAGGCAAGGAGATTCCTGCAGAGCACTGGTGATAACTTTTTGATACAGATGGTGGAGGAGAGGTGTGCTGCTGGCCCTCGTACTAATAAACAAAGAAGGACTGGTTTGGGATGTGAAGGCTGGGGACAGCCTTGGTTGCAGTGACCGTGTGATGTTGGAGTTCAGGATCCTGCGTGGAAGAAGCAGGACAATAAGTAGGATCCCAGCCCTGGATTTCAGGAGAACAAACGTTGGCCTCTTCAAGGACCTACTTGGAGGAATCCCATGAGTTGGAGCTCTGGAAAGTAGGCGGTGGGTCCAAGTGGTTAATGTTCAAGCATCACTTCTCCAAAGATGACTAGGAAACTGGAGCATCTATTAGGAGGAAAGGTTGAGTGAGCTGGGCCTGTTTAACTTGGAGAAGATGGAGAGGGGACTTTATCCATGTATGTAAGTATCTGAAGGGTGGGTGTTAAGAGGATGGACCAAGGCTTCTCAATGGTGCCCAGTAACAGGACAACAGGCACAAACTGAAACAGAGTTCTATTGGAATATCAGGAAAAGCTTCTTTACTGTGAGGATGACAGAGAATTGGAACATGTCCTTCTCTGGAGATATTTGAAACCCACCTGGGCACAATCCTGTGAAACCTGCTCTAGGTGAAGCTGTAGCAAGGATATGAGACTAGATGATCTCCAGAGGTCACTTCCAACCCTAGTCATTCTGTGATTCTGGATCAATTCTGTTTATTATCCTGAGGTTAGATTTGGCAAGCAACATCTGTAACCTGCCACCATGAAAAATTATTTCCAATACTTTTCTTCAGTTTCCAAATACTTCCTTCAATATTTGACTGTAACTAGAGGATGGCAATTTTCCGCTGAAGACTTAAAGGAAAAATTACAATGTATATTGACCATCAGTAATTCTGTATCAAAATCCCTTGAAGTATCAAGGTGCAAATTGTTTTGATTTATATGTGTGTCTGTTTAGCAGTGCATGAGCAGAAAATACCAGTTCTTTCCTTGCTAGCTTGCTGAAAAGTATGCAATCCAAACTGATAACAGGAAAGGATTTAAATTAAAAATTTCTGTATCACATTCATATGCAATGCCTTTAATTTGGATGGATCGTGGAGATTCCTATTAGTATGTTGCACAAACTAGCCTAATTTAAGAATTGCATATCACTAAATGTAATCTGCCCATCAAAAAGCTATGAGCACTGACCCTATGAAAGGTAAAACTAGGAAACAAAAAAATAGTGCAGTGTTCAGTTTAAGCTGCTGTGGAAATTTGAGCAGGCAGCATGTTCTGAAGAATTACTTTTAGATAAATCTAATCTGCCACCAGCCTCTTTGGTTGCTGGAGAGAAGGCCTGGTCCTCTTTGCAGCTCTAAGCAAGGTCCTGCTCCAGATAGTATAAAATGCTGTCTGGAAGGAACCCAAGACCCTCTCTTTTAACTGTACAGGGAACCTGATGAGAGTAAATGCCTATACCTGCAGTTAATCTATATAAATACCTACAATTAATTGTGTAATAAATTTAACTACTCTGTCAGCTTCCTTTTTTTGCTCTGGACCCTTAGCAAAGAGCTCAGAATCTGGCTGCACGAATAACAGAGACGCTTATATCTACAAAATTAATTCCTGTTGTTATCATCAAAAAGCAAAATTATGGAGAGGCAGTTTCAGACTGGTTGGCTATAAGCGTGCTTGAGAAACAACACTGTATTTTTGAGGGGTGTTATGCCCTTGGTAAAAATTTTTAATGTTCTTATTCAGAATAAAATGTTTGTATTTCCATATGAGGAGCAAACAGAGCATTTACAGCATTCAACAACCTTAATATTTCAAAGCGTAGAAAGTACAAGGAAAATTAACTCTTCGTATCTGATACATGGAAAATATATAATAAATAAACATGGAAAATTAACTCTCTTTAGGAAGATAGTAGCATCTCAAATCCCTATCTGAAAATCCCAGTTACTCAGTATTGCTTTTTTCCAGCAGCCAGCAAGAGGAAGCACAGATCACGGTAATGCTGTTGCTCCGTGTCAGCAAGCGTAGGCACAGCAGGAAGCGCAGCCATGGCAGGAAAAGAGCCCGAGAGGAGAAAAATCCCTATGGGGTACACACCGGTACACCCATGGATTTTGTGTGCCATTTCTGCACCACAGAAGGTGCCATCCCAGGCACTGTCGTGCAGGAGGGGAGCAACCACACCCTCGACAGGAGGACCTGAGTGCCAGGTCCTCCCCAGCTTTTGCCAACTACCTTATTCAGCACTGGCCTTTGTTTAACAAATGCCTCCCATAACAGACCAGAGCTGTGTATCCGGGTTGAATTTCAACTTAGTTGTGTCCCTTGTCCATCTGCTTTGCCCCAGGTTGTTGAATAAGCCAGTGGCTTCCCCCATAGCTGCCACAGCAGCGTTGTCCCCAGAACTGCTGGAATCTGTTGAACCTGGGCTGTTGTACCCACGAGGGGCAGTGTCAGCTGTAGCTGCTGTGCATATTCTGTGTCCAGGGTCAAGTCCAGTCATCTGTGCTCCACACCACTGCATCAGGCAGATCCAGGGCTGCTGGTCAGGAAGGAACTGTGCAGCAGTAGGTGGTGTGGGCAGCAGGACTGAGTGAATTGGAAGCTTTCAGGGACGAGGGAAAGAAAGCTGCTTTGGAGCTCAGAAAGGGTACTGGTGCTCTGCCCAGACCTCCCAAACCAGGGAAGGTGCTATGAAGGTGCTGTTGTGACAGCACACCCATGCTCTAGGCAGGCAACCAGGTGCTGCTCCCACAGCACCATGGGCATCCACCTGTGGTGTGAGTTCCTGCCATGGGACCCTGGTAGGGTCTGTGAACATCTGCTGGGGGACTCGCTGATGCAGCAGGACCAACCCTACAGTGGACAATGCTACTCCCTATGCTGGTGGGGAGCACTCTGCAATGCTGGGGTCTCTATGGTGCTTTCCATGCTATCCACTGAGGTGATGCAACGTGCTGGGCTCCTTTCCGTGCCCTGAGTGGAGTGCAGCTCTCTTCCAAGAAATTCCACTCCACCTTTTCCTCTTGGGCACACTCCATTTTTAATTACGTTTCAGCACCATCCATTTAGGGTGCATCCCAGGTACCTTGCATTCCCACCAGAAAATAAAAGAAGCAAGACCAGTGATAAAGGGAAGAGTGGGATAAAAAAAGGCCAGAGTGACTAAAGAAAGAAAATAAGTAGAGGAAGGAGAATGGCAAATGCTGCTGGTTTAATTGGATCTGACCTTATACAGGAGACTCAATCTCCCTTTTCATCTAACAGTAAGAGAAAAAACTGCTTGATGCATCTTGTGATCAAGTCTGAAACTTGCAGGAAGAGAAGGTAGCCAGAGCTCATTCAGTTAAAGCAGAGACCACATCCAGGGAAGAAAGAGTTTGCTTGAAGACAGTTTTCTTTGATTAGTAAGCATTACTATTCCAAAACATTTGGTTTTTTTCAGTAATTGTTTCATCTGACTTTTACCAATGTCTGTGTGTGTGTGTATATATATATACACACACATATAAAAATAAATCAGAAAAAATAGACTATTCATTTGTGCTATTTGCTTATATACAGTGTGGGGCTACTTTCTGTCATGCTGTTGTAGCTTGGGAGCGTTTCTGAGAGAGCAGCACTTGTCCATGGAGAACCATGACAGTTCTACTGTCCTGCACGCAGGCTGCACTTTGCCAGCCAGGAGACATTGCTAATCAAAGTGTATATTGAAGAAAACAATTTGAGCCTTCCCTTTATGTCTGGGGCAAATGGCATTTTGTTCTAACCTCAGTGCCCGTCTGAGATTTGTTTGTGAACATCTCTCGAGCTCCAGGCATGGGAGAACTGGTGCCTGTGCTTTAAACCTGCTGATAGCGGTTGTTTGTTTAGCTGTTGTCTGAGTGTTGTGAACATAGAACTGCTTGCTCATAGAGGTGGCTGAGTGAAGCAAATAGTGAAGTATACATAGAAGTTAAACTTCAGACCATGTTAATTTTTAGCACAAAGAAGTGTTTGTTGGAGTGGTTTGCTGGGGTATTTTGTTATGTTGTGCTTATGTTCCAGTTACAGTAATTGTCTAAATTGTTGTTGTAAGGGCTAATATTAAGCACAATTTTCTAAAGATACCGTAGCTTCTGCAGTGGAAATGTTTTGCTGGAGAGGCTACTTAAGAAGATATAATTTCACCTGCTGTTAGAATCTTACATAGTATAAGACTCCATAGCTTGTTTTAGGATAGCAGCATTACCCAGCAGTGCTCCTGAAAAGCATAACTACTGTCCTGTCCCTGGTATACCAATGTCCTGAGTCGAAACAAAGAAAACTTCAAATACAACAAGCATTTTGTCTTTTTAAAGACTTTTTCCTCTTGTTTATGTAGAGGTGTTGACATTCCCTGGAAGTGTGAAATGCATTTGACCAACAATGTGTCTCTTCTCTTTTAGATCACAGAAGTTTGTGGAGCTAAGCGTGTGGGTTATTTTGGTCCTGCTCAATTTTATATTGCTTTGAAGTTAATTGCAGCAGCACAGTCAGGGTTCCCAGTACGGATTGAGAGCATTAAGAATGGTAAGTAGCAAATTTTGCTTGCAGCACTGTGCAGTTGTTTCTCACTTTCTTTAATGCTTGTCAGCTCTCCATGGTGGTTAACTTTTTATTACGTGTCTATGAACAATTTTAAGGAACAGAGAAAGAGCAGAAGGTAATGTTACATGCTCTAAGTGACTGGTAGAAAATTGCAGTGAATTTACATGTACGGCAGAGGTGAAACAGCATCCCCCTCTGGAAAAGGCATTACAAAGGAGTTGCACAAATGACAGCTGATAACAGTGATGCATTTCTCTCTCTCCTTCAGCTTCTGATCTTGACAGCTGTCCAGAGTGAGAGCAGATAGCTGCTTTGAGTGGAGGCATGTTGTGGGGGATACGGGCAGGTCAAGGGGTCCCTCTGTGCAGGGCAGCTTGTAACACTCACCTGTTTTAGCAAATAATCTTGCAGAAATAAATGGGTAATGGTGACAAAATCATGTTTCTTTGTATGAGTAGGTTTGAAAATGTGTATTAAGTGTATTTTAAAACATCTTTTTTCTTCCCAATGAATTGGCAATAATATTAAATGTACCATTTTTGATGGAGAAGACTTTTTTTGAAAGAGGCTTATCAAACTGAAGTGATGAAGAGACAAAGCAGGATCCTTTTAGCTGCAGAACCTTGATAGCAACTAAATGGAAGGAACTTCATGTTCTTGCCCTGGTGATGCGTGCTCTGCCTCAGCAGGGCTCAGGTGTCAAAGCATGTGGCTATTTGCCTGAGTTTGAACAGGTTGGAACCCTCAGCTCCCATATCTCAAGTGGACATTCAAACTGTGCACTGAGGCTGTGCTCTGGACTGCAGGGTGTGCCACCATCCCGCTGAAAGGGGGATGCAACTGGTTCAAGATTAGAGAGATGGTTGGAAAGGCAGGACCTACCCACAACCTTGCAATCAGGTCACTGCTCCCAGCAGTTTCTGCTCTGCTGTCCCTGGTAAGGGCAACAAAATGTAAAACTCACGTTCATTACAAGGCACAGGGAGGGGGTTCCCAGGTCTGCCGCATCCCAAGGAGGGAAAGGCAGAATGGCAAGCACATGCAGACCTGTGTGAGCTGAGCTCCTGCAGCGCAGAGTTCCCGACCAAGTGGAGAGGATCAGATGCAGCTGGTGCAGTTCAGTTCAGAGCCTTGCTGGAAGAGGAGTTTAAACCAAGGGTGAAGAGAAGCAGACAGGATTTGTCTGTCAGTTTTCCTTACAGGCATCTTGTGCGCTCTCTTATTTCATTACTGTCCTTTTTAAGGATGTTAATTTAAGAAAAAAAGGCAAAAAACAAAACCAAGCCCCCCAACTAAATTAGAAACCTGAACTGAGGTTTACTGTCTATGTTTTACAAGTCCAGCGTCTGCAAATAATCCAGAAATTTGACTGAAAAGGGATACTTGCAGTCCTTGTATTGTTATCCTGCTTACTTACTGTTTCAGTACAATTTCAGTAAAAATGCTTCCAGTGCTAATTACATTTTCTCTAAAAATATATGAGTGCCTTTAGAGTGGGGTGAGTAACATGTACTAAACTCCAACTGATTTCTTTCTCTTCCTAGTAGTAACTGTAGGTATAAATGATTACAGAGGTGATGAATGGCTTTGCTTGGTTTTGAGCTTTCCGTTAATTTTAATTGTATTGATCTTTCAGGGTAACTGTGCACAAAAATAAATGGTGTTTCTTCAAAATAATTAGGAATTGTCTTAAAGAGTGACAAAGTGTCACTCTCCTGCTCTGCACAGCAGACACAACATGGGACCTTTTGACACAGTCGTCTCACCAGGCCTTGGTGTGATCTCTGAACCCTACCATTTTTAATTTGTTCCTTTCATGATGGCAGTGTTGAGGATTCTGTGATCCTGACTGATTAATTCATCAGTCCCACAGTTTCTGTGGGAAACTATTCTTTTCATTACAGGCAAGGTTTTGAAGGCAGGAAATGAGTTTGCTGCTTGCTTTAATAATGTGCACAAGGCTTACTTCTTTCTCTTTGCATAAAGAGATTATATATTAAGCTGTACATTAAGAATGTAGCTTTGTGTAACATTCACATTTTTATTAAGACATAAAATAATCAAAGGAGTTCCAAACTTAGAAATGTTACAAAATATAAACAGTAGTCTTTTACAGAAAAACTTTTCATTGGTTTTGCAAGACGATACTGCTTAAAGTGGTTCTCATGTTCTGTACTCTCAATTGAATTTTTCTCTCTTTTAATAAAGAATTGCCTCTGCCACGATTTATGGCGCTGAAAAATGACACTGAAGTACGTTATGGGACTCCATCAGAACTCCATGGAGTTAAATTTCAGGTTCCACATGCAACTTTGGAAAAAAATTCCTACAAAAGAGCAGATGAAGGGGACAAACAGGTAACAGGCTTGTCTTCTTCAGGCTGATATATCATTATGCATCCTCCTTTTGGGTCAAGTCCTGTAAATGGTTACACTCACGTTGTTTTTCACCAGTTTTTGAATGAGAAATTAAATGAACTCCTTATGTGCAAATGATCACCATCGTGTCTGTATTCTGGTTTTGATGCATCCCATTTACTTCCCTGAAGAAAATTCTCTGTATGAACTTGTATGAACCTGTCAACCCTGTAAATATTCTGTGTAAATTCTTTCAATGTTGTTCTCCTACTTAATCCAGCGCTGTTTCTTGCAGAGGACCAGGGAGGAGCAGCAAATAGAAGTCTGTCTGTGAAACAGAACAGGAAAGTGAGTGATATTCCATGGCCAGTACAGTCCTTAGTCACTATAGAAATACTCAGTTGGAGAAGAGATGTTAAATCATGAGCCACTATTTTGGGGTGGGATAAGGCCCCCAGGTTTTCTTTCATTCTAATGTCCCCAAGGAGTAGTCCAGAAGAAATCTGCTTTTCTTTTGTCCTCAGTGAAACATTTCCCAGCATCTCTTGTTCTAAGTTGGCAGTTTCATAAAGCTGTCCAAGAGAGGTTTGTATTGCCTGTACTTAGCAGAGTTGAGAGCGCTTGTTCAGGTACTACCAACTTCACAGTGCTGCATAATTTTCATAAATATTGATTTGCATAATTTTCCCCAGGCCCAACACTTTCTCCTCTGGTACCGTATCAGGTCATGTTGTAAGTGTCTGGTAGGAGCACTTTATCTTCCCGAAACGTGCACACACATTTACCACACAGTGCATTGGCGTCAGTAACAGTGTTCCCTGAGGTCAGCCAGCAGGAGTGAGCTGATGACAAGATACACAGGTGGAATAACAGGATGAGGAAGAAGAACATGTGTGCCTATCTATCCGTGTGTACTGACACTGAAGCAGAACACTGCCCTCAAACCCCTGGCTCCATCTGTATTGTCTGTGTTGTGTTTTATTTTCCTCTTTATTCAGTAAACTCTTTCAGGATTACATTCTCTTCTCAAGCAATCTCAGTAAGTCAAAGGAAAGAGAAAGCTTTAGGATAGTTTACCCAGTGATACCTACTGATCCACAGAGTGTTTAAAATACCTATTCAGAGATTTATTTTTAATTTTTGGTATATTTTTTATATGAAAAATGATCTGCACAACAAAGGCACTCACACTAACTAAATACATAAATTCAAAGATGCCCACTCACACTGAGCCTTCAACATGTGCTTCTTCAGGCATCTTTAGAATTAAAATATCTTGAGCTGGTCATTGTAAAGCTTTGCTATAGCACTGCCATGCTTTACTCCCAGAAGACTCAGTACCGAAGTCTGTCTTTCCTATTTTATGATGCCTTTTCTTGGAAATAAAGGGCCTGAGAATGCCACAGCATTTGCCTCGTCTTTGTCCATCATATTGTACGCCTTTGGATTGCTGTGCAGCAGGATTTTGTTTCTTACATCTCATTTTGTGTTGGTGTGTTTTTGAAATAGGAACCCAAGTCTCCTCCAATGTCTCCAATCTGCTCACCTCCTGCTTCTCCATCTACTTACCAGAGAATACCCCTAAGTTATGGATATGGTAAAGCAAGAAGTGGGCTGGAGCAGCAGCATGGAGGTAGGATAAAAACTGCAATGCACACTGTATGCAATTCTTTTTGCCTTTTTTTTTCTTTATCAGAAGTAGCTATATTCCAAATGCAACTGACAATCAGCCTAATGATTTTAAAATTTAATTAGACTTGTGTTTTGGAAAATGATTTGATCTACTTATTTTGACTGTTCAATGCTGTCTTCCTATTTCCTTTCTATTAAATTAGATATGTGTGACTTCTCACAAATGCAACTACCTAATCTCTGACAAGACTACGTGCAATCTATCCCACTGGCAGAGAGCTTGAAATTATTGTCAGAGTGCATGATGCTTTTGGTTTCATTAGAGGGAAAGAAAACCTCATTTCAATAACCACATGTTAATTTTCAGATTGAAAGTGAACCTTCCTTTGCAGGAAAGGATAATAATGGCTCTGGTTTTGTAACAGAAGTAATAATAGGACATGAATATAAAATCAGTGCAACTTAGGCAATACAGACAAAAGGCACTGCGTAGTTGCGCAGTCCTTCATTTTGCTGCCATCAGAGGGGGTGGCAAAACATTCTAATAAGAGGGTAATGGGGCAGAAGCCATTTTAACTATGTCTTTAGAAGCTCCTATTAATAGTAGGCATCTGTGAACTCCTAATTGCAACATATGGTAACCAAGTTGGTGGGGGAAGTAGGCATTGGTGAATACTGACCCTCCCTCATCCCTCCTGCTTTAGGTTAGTGTGTTTGCAGTCAGTGAGGAGTGGAGCATGCTAGTCCTTCAGCTTTTGTCCTTATTTATATAATACATCAGTGGAAAAACAGAGCTATTCAACCTTGCTGTCCCAAGTGACAGTTTAGTACAACAACTACTGGCTCTTCCTGGCCTTTAACATTAAGACCCTTCCAGTTTCCTGAAGAGCACTCCAAAGGGGAGGACTGGAAGTTTCTGCATAGCATATGCATGAGAAGTGCTGTGCCAGAAGGCTGGGCTGGGCTGGGCTGTACTGCAAGTCTGACCCTAAAATTGGACAACATGTCTGAAGGGCAGCCCTTTGCACTGCAACCATGACTATATATGTTTTTCTTGATAGTTTTGGAAGTATTTCATGCTAGCAAACACACAGCAGTGTGGCCTTGTGCTTAAATCTCCTCTCCAAGAATGTCTGTATGTTTCCAACTTTCCTTCCTTTTTTTTTTTTTTTGTTCTGAAATTAGTAGTTACTTGTACAGGAATAAAAATAGATACCAATACAGGATAAGACCACTTAGGAAAACAAGGGAGTTACGGTGTAATTTTTAAGGTCTGCCTGAGCTCAAAATTTTCAAGATTTTTTGGTCTCCTTTTTCATCATGAGTCTTTAAGGTTCTGACTATCTTTGTGGTAAATTTTAAATAGGGTGGCAGCAGAAGTTCTCAGGTCTGCAAGGGTTTGCAAGTGAGATGTCTTTTTGTTTGCATACTTGCCCTATTTTTAAAACATTGTTCCTAAACGTGCTGTTGTGTCACCACTTACCATATTTGCTGCGGTGGAGCTTAAACAACTTATTTTAAGAAAAGAAGTAATTGTTACTTTTGTTCACTAACTTTACTCCAAATAGGTGAAGTGATGAGTCATGTATTTTGATTTTCAACAGAAATTAGGGAAGGGAGAGGAAGCGTATGTGGAAAAATAGTGATTTGCTATTTGATAGCATTGTCAAAGCATATTTTTTTGGCAGCTCAATTGAATGATTTGTTCTTATTTGTAGTGCATTCTTGTGCTTTATATGGCTACAAGTATATAAAAAGTATAAATGCAAAAACAGGCTATATAAATATGTATTTCAACATGATGAACAGCAATTTCTGTTACCCAGTAGTATATAACTGACAGTGTCTCAGTCATGTATGGAGAAAAATGATGCAACATGAAAGACAAATATGTGGCTGGAATTTTGTTGCAGAAGACAAAATGGGCTTTGATACTGTGATATTAGGTTTGCTGGGTAGATACTTGACAAAATGGACTTTGATGCTCTGATACTGTGTTCACAAGCTGCATTCTTGACCTTGAGGTATTTAATTATTTCTTTTAGCCTAGTAGAATTTTTTTGATTATCCTTTCATTTATATACTTATTTTAAATGACTGTAGCTCCTTATGAAGTCAGGCACTCTACTCACCAGCAAGATGGACCATCATCAGGGAATTATGGAGCCAAATCTTCACTCACCTGTTCAACTCCTAAACGGGTAATGAATTGCACATTTTTCCTTAGTAGTACTACTAATAAAACAATAGAGAAATTTAAAAAAATGACAAAACCAGAAGAATTCTCACTTTGAAAATGGAAAGTGTTCTCCATGGTGTTTTTAGAGTAGAGACTGAAGTATGCTTTTTTAGTATATGAGGAAAAAAAGAGCTGATGGGATGAAGAAATTAAAATAAATAATCAATTAAATTGCTAAAAGTAAGTCATAATAAAACATTTTCATTTAAGATACATGAGGTTTCACAGAGATTCCTGCTTGATTTAGAATAACAGTTGCACAGAATTATGACTTAACATTCTTTATATTTTGGTTTCTTACCACAGTTGTTAAATTGCATCTCAAACAGATTAGATTAATTTCTGGGCATTTGTTTGCTTTTGTGAGATAGGTCTTATGTTTTCCTGCTGGTTGCAAAAGCAGATCTTTCTGTGTTTCAGTGTGCCTGCTGTGCATTTATTATGCAAGCAGGTAGTTTGCCCTAAGGAAGGACAAAGCTCTCCTAAACTAGAGCTTTTCCTAAATAAGTGAAACTCAGAGACTCTGCTTTTTCCTCAGTGCTTAGCACTTCACACTCACAATAAAATGTCATCTCAGCCTCTGGAAAAGATCTACAGGTAGTGTCATATAATTTATGCTAACTTGAGTTGAAATTGGGTGTATTTGTGTAGCACTTTGAAATGAAAATTAGTTTACAGCTTTATGGTGATTCTTGTTTCGGGGATCTTTTGATGTATTTCAGAACTGGTGTTTTGCATTTGATTCTTAGGAAATAGATATATCAGAGAAAGGGTTTCAGAGCTGATTGGAGCCTGGTTGTTGTTCATTCTTGCCCTCACTCTTAAGGAGTGTTATCATCCAGGCTTAAATATAGAATACTAGCCTCAGTTTTAACAAATAAGTAGTGGGATGGTAATTAGTGTGGCCATTTCTGCTTCTTGTCTTCTAAAAATAAAAAATAGAAGAGTGTGAATTCTTGAGGTTCCCAGTGCCCTTCTGGTCCCCTGCCTGTGGCTGGTGCCAGTATCCCTCCCTTCAGTCTCTTTCAGTGGAGCGGGAGCAGCAGGATAGCAGCACCCACTACTCGGATGACCCTTGGAGGATAACGGAGGAGCAGCGGGATTACTACATTAACCAGTTCAGGTCCCTGCAGCCCGACCTGAACGCCTTTATTTCAGGTAATTTTTACCAAACACAGTGCATGTTAGGTAGGGGGACCAGGCTGGGAGGTGAGAAGTGTTAAGTAAATAAATTCTTTTTTCTCTCTAGCGGTGGGTTTATAAGAGTTGGTTGTGTTTCCTTTTTGAAGGCAGACTACTCAAAGAGCAAACCATTACTGTGGCCATTACACTTTTTTTCCTAAATATCATGATTTTAGAGAAATAATTACATCTAAGGGAGAAGTGTTAGTGATTTGGTAAAAATTAAAATGAGCTTTCTGTATTTGATGCACTATATTTTTGGATCACACCTGCAGTGTATATTGAGTTGAAACACCCCTGAGGGTTGTGCTTGCTTTCCCAGCAAGTGTAGTGTCTATGTGATGACAGTGAAGCATGCAGTTCACTGTCCTCTGTGTTCAAGCCTGAGGTTTATGGCTCTGAGGGGCTGAGATTTTGACCTTTAGGTCAATAAAAACCAATCCTGGAGAGCACATGCATAGTAGAAGTATTGTTAAGAGCATATTGAGATTGCATTTCTATCTTGAATAGAAGGATCAGGCTGCTGGTGAGAGGTCACTGCTGGGTACAGACAATTGGTGTGGCAAGGAAGATGTCACAGGTTTTAACTTGTGGAAGTTTTAATGAGCTGTGCTGTATCACTAGGGTTCAGGAGGCCCTCTGGTATCACTGAGGTTCAGGAGGCTTGGATCTAGCCTCAGTTAAGTCTCCTTCATGCAGTTTGCTTCAAAGAACAAATGGTTTTTCAATGTTGATTCTTCCCCTGATGGTTGTCCAATGGGAAGAGGACTATAGTCCTGCAAGTCTGTACTTTGTTTCCTTATGTTTTGTAAGCCTATATCCAGGAAGGGCTTTCAGGATACTCCTGACAGCCTGTGCATATGGGATGGTGAATAAGTGGATTTGTTAACTAGAAGTATGAGAAGGGCTGCTATGGCAGGGTGAGTGAGGATGCCTGCAGTAGGACAGGAGCTATGTGCTATCTGATCTTCCGTTTGGGGTTTTTTTTTTTCTTTCTTTCTTTTTTTTTTCCACCATAAAATTTGAGCCACAGCAGGGAAGAGTCGTGGTTGAAACAGCATCTTGGGAGAGCAGTGCAGATGCTACAGCATTGTACTGCAATACAAGTGACTTCTGGGTGAAGCAGGGCTGTTTGTGTCTATTAGTTCATCACTGGTGACATACTAATTATGCTGGTTAGAATTACTAGTACTAAAGCAGATTTTCCTTTATTTATTTTTCCCATATGGAGGGAATGGAGAAATGAGGTCAACAGCTCTGTCTGGCTTTCTCTGTCATTTATTCAGAAGGAGACAACAGCTATATTAGCATCTGGTTGATCTGAGTGTCTCTCGGATGTAAATTAATGTTCTGCTTCTGGTGCAGCAGACCAGGTAAAAGGTAAAAATTTGGTGAATTAATTTCTAGTGGCTGATAAGGCATGCTTTCTCAACAGGTTCCGTAGCAAAGAATTTCTTCACAAAATCAAAGCTGCCCATCCCAGAACTTTCTCACATCTGGTAAGGACTGTAATAGTGTTGGGGATGTGTATCCTGGTTTTTTAAAAGACAAGAGTTCTTGTTAAATTTTAAAAGTGCCTTCAATTATAATTATTTCTCTTATCTCCAGAATCACTTTGAGGCCCAAGCAGCAGGGTGCTCATTGATCTTCCTGACACACTTGTTTTCTGGAGAGATGTTGGCCTACTCAGCAGGACTGGGAAGGTTTGAACAGCGAAATAAATGAGAGCTGTTCTTAAGTATATTGTAAGCAGTGTCATTATCTCAAAGAACTGACGTTTTTCATGAAATGACACAGAGGAGAAGCACCTCTGGAATGTTATAGATGTGTTGATGGCTTTATGTTTCTGTCCTTGTTTTGTCAGAGGAGGCCTAATTAAACAACTGCATAATTCATCAGTGCTTTTCTAATGAACCAGTACACTTGCTTTTAATGAGCTTATTGAGAAACAATTGTGGATGGAACTGTACATGATAAAATTTGACAAGGATTCTATTATATTTTCATAAACAACATGGTGCTTTGTAATTCAGTGTCATCCTTGCATCTCTGATAGGAAGAACAAACAGTTTTAAACATGGATCAGAAATGCTGATAGAGGTTTTATTTTTATATATGCTTTTTTGAAGAGAGATGAGAAGAAAAGCTTGCAAGAGCCTAAACATCTGTCAGGGTCAAAGGATATGTCTGGAATCTTTTCAAAGCGGATTGTCAGTTGTGAAAATAAAAAAACAATTGAAGAAACATAGTGTTGGGGGAAGAGAATATTGGAATTTGAGATTACTTAAAAAGAATGGATTAACCCAATATGTTAACGAAACACATTTTATTTTTATTGCTGATGCAACTTGTTTTCTGTGCAGAATTTCAAGAAAAGTATTCCTTTCTAGTAGATAAGTATATTTTGTGACAATGTGATTTATAGGTTGTCTTGCTGTGTTAAACACATGGTATGTCTCAGTCTTTGTCACTGTAAGCTCAACAGCTTGAAAAGTGCTTGTTACCTTCAAAGAGCAAGAAGTTATGTTAATTTTAGACCATAGGCTCAAGATAAAATATGACTCAATTCTTGCAAAGAGTTAATTTATAAAATCGAGTTCTTGAATTTCTGAAGTCCAGCTTTGTGTTTGTGAAGTATTCTAGAATTAGACAGAACTACTTTAGTGAGAAGCTGCCAATAGTATTTAAACTTGTCATGAGCATTAATTTAGCCCTTTTCTTAAGACTAGCCAGTGGTGCTAAGTAACCATTGCTGAAATCCATATTGAACTTTTTCTGCTTGAACTGGTTTAAGATCCTGCATGAATTGGCCAAAAAGTGCTTCCAACCATTGAAATGTTGATTTCACTCTTACAAGAATGTGTGCTTGCAGCTCAGAAGGCCAACCATATCCTGGGCTACATCAGAAGGGAAGAGATTTCTCACCTCTGCTCCGCTCTGGTGAGACCCCACCTGGAGTACTACATCCAGCTCTGGGGTCCCCAACACAATAAAGACATGGATCTATTGGAATGAAGTTCAGAGGAGGGCCACTGAGTTGATCACAGGGCTCGAGCATCTCTCCTGTGAGGAGAGTCTGAGAGAGTTGGGGCTGTTCAGCCTGAAGAAGAGAAGGTTTCAGCGAGATCTTACAGCAGCCCTCCAGTATCTAAACATAGTCCACAAGAAGGCTGGAGAGGGACTTTTCACAAGGGCATGTCAGTGATAGGACAAGGGAGATAGGCTGTAAACTCAAGGAGGGCAGGTTTAGATTAGACATTAGGAAGAAATTCTTTACTATGAGCATAGTGAGGCACTGGAACAGGTTGATCAGAGAGGTTGTGGATTCCCCATCCCTGGAAGTATTCAAGACCAGGCTGAATGGGCTCTGAGTAACCTGGTCTGGTGGAAGGTGTCCCTGCCCACAGCAGAGGGGTGGAACTAGATGATCTTTAAAGTCCCTTCCAACCCTAATCACTCTCTAATTCTCTAAGTATAGGTTATGTATTTCATGTTCTACTATATACATACCATCATATTGAATGGTATGATGTGTAAAAAAAAAAGTACTTTACTGAAAAAGAAAGAAGTGGCAATTCACTATTAGAAAATTAGCTGGCTTCATCTTCCCTGAGACCAATGTGCAAGTCAGGGTCAAGTGCAAATGACAGAGATGCTTGTCTTGTGTTAAAATATCCCTTCTCAGAGTTGCATTTTTGTCTCCCTTGTGATGGCACACGTACATTTCCCTGAGGTAACAGCTTGGAAAACATGTACCTGTTGTATCCACAGGGAGCTGAGTGACGTGGATTGTGACGGGGCGCTGACACTCTCGGAATTTTGTGCTGCTTTCCACCTTGTAGTTGCGAGGAAGAATGGTTACCAGCTGCCTGAGACACTGCCGGAGACGCTGCTGCCCAAGTACCTCCAAGCAGGTAATGTTCCTGCGGCAGGTCGTGTCCCTGTAGCCATCCCAGAAATCCAGCGTCTGTGTAAGACAGGTTCACTTTCCTTCCTGGAATGGGCTTCTATGCTGTGTAGTGGTTCTCTGGCTGCTTTTTAAAGCATGCTGTTGTTAATTGCTGAAGAAGTGTAATATATCAAAGCACAAAAGTAGGGATGCAAAGTGTAGCAGTTTCCTGCCTGTCGATGTCTGCCCCTTTGCTCCAGTGTGCTTCAGGTGACATTACAGCTGAAGTGGCAGATGATTACCTTTAGCAAAGATAATCCAGCAATGGCTTTGAAGTGAAAGAGGGCAGGTTTATATCAGATTTTAGGAAGAAATTCTTTACTGTGAGGGCAGTAAGTCACTGTAACAGGTTGCCCAGCGAAGCTGTGTATCCCCCCCACACAGGAAGTGTTCAAGCCCAGGTTGGATGGGGTTTTGAGCAACCTGGTATAGTGGGAGGTGTCCCTGCCCATGGCATGGGATTGGAACTAGATGATCTTTAAGGTCCCTTCCAATCCAAAACATTGTATGAATCTATGATACAGCTTTTAATTCTTTTGATAATTTTTTCTTTAAGTATCTGTCTCTTGAAGATTTGTTGAAAATGATACTGGACTGCTTTAGAACTTAATATGCTAATGTATTTGTTAGATGCAGTTACTGGTTGTATCAAAGGCTGAATTTTTTTGTAATTCATTTCATGTTATCCACAGATTCTTCCATAAATAGTTTACATTAATGATGGGAATTACAACAGTTTGTGTAGCACAAAGGTGAATTAATCCAAAATATAACATACCTCATAACAATGTGTAGTGAGAGACCTGCCCTTTCATTTGTTCTCTTCAGTTATGTCTCTTTTAATTATAAATTAACATTGAAATATGTTCTGTTCCATCTAAAAAACGTGCATGCCTCTCTAGGGCAAGGAGGATTAATCACAGATGATAATTACAGTGCTAAGGGATAATATTTAAGACCTAATAAAATCTCCATTAAATTTGATGACACTGAATATATTAAAAGGCAGGAAAAGAATAAATCAAGCTGCAGGTAGGAAAATACAATGTTGACCTGTATCAGATTTGTGAAGTAATTTCTGATGGAGTCATGTTCCCTGTAATCCACTGTCTTCATATCCAAAGCAATAAGCTCCTGGAAAACCTGCACTTCCAAGTCTTCGTCACTTTTAGTCTCTCTAATTACATTCCCTTGTCATAATTACAACTACCCTTTTCCCTCCAGGACCACAACTTTGTTCACTATTGGCTTGTAAGCTCAATCATGCAGGTTCTTCTTGGTGTGTCTTCACATTAAGCCTTTTTGGGTAAAACTGCAATTGAAATAACTCTAGAAGTAGGGAATAATTGTGTCAATGGGAGGAAAAGAATGGTAAGCTTAGTTCCCTGGGAGTCCTCTTTTCTTCTGTTTGTCCCTTTCAGCACTTAGACCTACCATTTTCTTAGATGATTATTGTTTTCTGGTGTTCCATGAAACCAAGCATTTCAAGCTAATCTATGTGGAAGAAGTGAAAGGACAAATTATTTCTTGTGGATCCTTTAAATATCTCGGCTAATATACTAATTCCGGTTAACCTGAGGGTCTGAAAATATCTTGTGTTTATTCTGTCACCTAGTCAGGATTCAGAAATCTGTCTTTTGAAAGTTTTGCATTAATCAAAAGTAGACTATCTCAACACACTGTATCACTGTGAATCACAAGAAAGCATAGAGCCCTGGCTGTGTTGCTTCTGAAGTAAAAGCATTGAGAAGTAAGCAAGTGCCTCATACAATTACCTAAAATGTCAAAAGAAATGTTCAAGAGAAATCTTGTGTTTTCATGTTTTTGTAATTTGATTTCTGCGAAACTTGTAGTTTTTTTCAATTTTTTTGGCTTGTTAGGAACCCAATGAAGGTTACTGGAAACTGTTCTTCATTAGGTTGTTGTATTAGTTTCAGAGCATCTGATAAGAGTGTTGTTAAAGCTTCAAATAAAATGATTTGGAGTGAAAGAGCATTTAAGAATGCATTAATCTAGCTAGTTTTATAGCTTGTACTATAAACTACAAGCACAAGTCCAAATGCTATCCTGGCACAGCTCCATTGACCATTTGACCCACCACCTTGCTTTCAGAAAGTTTTTATTAAAATTAATTTGCAGAATCTGGAGAGCTATTTGCCCTGTATGTAAACCATGGTATTGTAAATTAGGATTGATTTCCAAGAGCTTAATTTATTGAGATAAAATAGATGCTAGCCAAAAAAATAGAAATGTGGTTATTCTGCCTTTTGATATATTGATGTTAAAAAAAGGTGTTTTCCAGCTTTTAAGACAGATGTGTCTCAGAGGGACTAACCCAGAGTGATACCAGGAGAAGGACTTGAGTTTGTGGGATAGAAGGTAGCTTGTTGTGAATATTCCTTTGAGAAGTTAGAGTTGATATTTTTTTTCCCTTTTTTTTTTTCCCCCTATCAATGTTATTTGGTTAAAGATGTTATATACTACAGCATCCACTGTGTTTAGTGTCCTGGTTTTTTGGTGGCCTTAGATTCTAGTGTAGATTCTGCTATACTTTTCAGTCTTCAAAACGTCAAAATTGCAGCTGAAGGTTTTGTAAGTACCCTTAACATTCCAAGGAGAGCAAGGTATCACCTGTAAGATCAGCTAAGTTGATACTGAATTGGAAGGAGGAAAAAGGCGCACAAGCAGTGTTTGGTACTTAATGTTTACTAAAAATAATTTCTTGCAAATCTCACAATTATTTCTACAACAGAAATGAGACATTATCCCTTTCATGACGCTGACTAATTTAAAATGCAAGATAGAAAGATTTTCTTCATTGTATTTGTCATTCCATGTCTTATGGATCAGGTCTGATATGTAGAAATGAAGGGCAAAATTATGCTAAAACAGGTTTTTAAGAACTGTGTATTAACCAAAGACTTGATATGTCTCTGTGGGTTTTTTTTGGTTGTTTTGTTTTGTTTTGTTTCCATTTTTTGTTTTGGTTGTTTTTCCTTTCTTTTTCTTTCCCCTGCAGCTTCTTTGAAGCCTGTGCTTGACTGTGCCCTGTATGATTCTTATTCTGAGCCATTGCCAGGCAGTCAGCAGACCCGGGACTTCAGTCGGACCGAGGTGAGAAAGCTTAAGCAGAGTGCTTACCTTGCAGAGTGGAGGGGAATACACCAGCTTCACAGTGACTGTGCTCTGTGTAGCGGCAGAACTGCAGGTCTCTAAGAGGACTTCAGGAGTCTCCAGGCCTCCTATCTGCAGACTAGACCTAACCTGCTCGTGTGCTGCAGGGCTGTGTTTCGCCCCCGCAGTGTTGGGAGCCAGTGGTGAGGGGCAGAGCCTGTGCTGCAGGAGGGGCAGTGTGGCACACAGGCAGTACTCATGTGTCCTGAGCAATTCTCCTGAGTCTGCATTGATTGAAAATGTGAGGCTTCTGGCACAGCGCTAGAATCATAAAATCATTTAGTTTGGAAAAGATTTCCAAGGTCATCAACTCTGTTAATCCAGCACTGCTTCCTTTCAGGTAGTTGTAGAGAGCAATAAGGTCTCCCCTGACCTTCCTTTTCTCCAGGCTAAACAACCACAGCTCCCTTAGCTGCTCCTCATAAGACTTGTGCTCCAGACCTTCCACCAGCTCCACTGTCCTTCTTTGGGCATGCTCCAGTGTCCTTATTAGCAGTGAAGGGCTCAGAGCTGAACACAGTAGGTTCAGTTGGATGGAGCAAGGGGTTTGGACTGGATCTGCAGAGGTCCCTTGCAACCCCAGCCATTCTATGAGTCTGTGAAGACTGATGCAAGAAAAACTAAATTAAGCAGAAGAATTTAACACTGAGGTTAAGACATGAAACTTTGAAGACCCTGTGAAGCTGAATTAATCATGGCCACCAAGTGGTGCCTGAATATTGCAACTCTGAATATATATACTCTGGGATTTAAGGGTTTAGTTTTTACGGTAGTTAATCAAATGGTAGACTGACTGCAGGAACTGGCCCTTCTGGCACTGCTTCCAAGTTTAAAAGTAATGGGATGTCATGGCAGCTCAGCAAGGCTGTTCTCCAGTTATTTTCTCCCAATGCCCTGCTCCGGGGAGTTCCTGGATCAGAACCCAGCTGCTTCCTCATCAAATTCATCTTGGTAGTGGTATCACCAAACATGATCCTAAGCTTCAGTTGAGTACAGTGTTCACTTTGGACAATGCTGCAGCCAACGTTTTGAGCATCCAGTGTAGAACTGTTAAAATATATGCAGTATCCCTGGGAGGAGTTGCTCATCTTACAGCAGCTTGGCCACAGCACAGCAATCACACTGGGTTTTGAAAGCAGTGCTGCTGGTCTGGTAGTGCAGGCTGCTGGTATGTTGGCAGTTTAGGTAGGTCCTTTGCCAGAAGAGCCTAGTCCCTTGCTTATGACCTTATAGGTGGCTTGCAACCTAATGTATAAAAGAGGATATAGGTATAATATAGAATTAAATTATATTTAAAATATAAACAAATATATAATTATGTATCTTTTATACTCATAATTAAAAAGCTTCAGTTTATGTTGTCTGAGATTAATGGACTTTAAAATCTCTTCTCAAAACTGATTTGAGAATCACTTTGATTTGATTTTTTTTCTGTTCAACTTATGTTTTTATGTTCAGAATTAATACACTGAACGAGTATCATTTGGAAGGTCAGTAATTTATCTCCCATTCATCTCCCTCTATGGGAAGTGCAGTAATTCACTGTTGCAATATAATTTGTATCTTGGCTAGTTGAGGTATTATAGTTTAGAGACTTGATCACTACATTAAAAATATTATCAATGCAATCTGTTATGCATTATCTCCATGGCTTTGTCTCTTTCCACTTATTACCCATTCATTAATTTAATTTCAGAAGGCCATTTTTACTGTGACTGCTGAACTACAGTACTGCAATAAAATGGAAACATTTCTTGAATGCATCTGTAAAGAAAATAATGGCAGGAGACACGTCCCCTGGATGCTAGGCTTTGTTGAACTACAAAACACAGCAAGACTGCTGATATTATGCTTGAGAAGGACAAGGGTGACTGATTTTTGTTTACCAAGGAAGTTTTGTCTTCCCAATGTTTTTTCTCAAGTTTTTATCTATCTCTTTTGGTTCTTTTTTACAAGCTTCCTCATTACCAAAACCTTAAAGATAAAACATGAGATTTCACACTATATGCACAAGATGACTGGCTGGGGTTGCTCTGAACTCCCTCCGAAAGTTCACTGAAATTTGTGAAAGTCATTCCATTGATTAAAGCAGGCACTGACTTAGGTCTTGAGTCTCGTGCTCTTCACTTGAGAGTGTCAGGGCTAGCTATGAATGTGAAATCTTTTGCTCATACATTTTCAGAGTCTTCAAGCTCTATTTTTGCTGTGTTGCTTTCTCAGAAGTATTAGGGTATCCCATTCCTCAGCAACTTTATAAAACAGATCTAACAGACCTTTACTCTGGGAGTTTTCCTTTTTGAACTACTGACTTAAGATTTTTGTGGTCTCTTAAAAATGCCTACAATATCTAGGTTTCTCAATTTATTTGTTTAGGCCCAGTTTATTTTAGATCATTTTTAGGTCATACCTCTTCCATGCTTCTTGGGGAAAATCCAGCATCATTTAATATTTAGAGAAGGTTAGGGTTTCTGACATTTCTTTATTGTTTTTTTGGTTGCAGAGTGTATCCTCATTTTTACAGATAATGGAGGTAGAATTTGTTCCTGTTTCCTTCTTGTAGGCTACACAGTTGCTGAAGTAACAGAAAGTTAAGGAATAAGACTGGGAAGAAGTTCTCTGTTTTCCTATCAGAGGCCTGAATGGGCATCCAACAGACATACTAGTGAATTTTTTTTTCCCATCTCAGTGACTGCATGCTGAAAGAAAAGAGTGGTTCAAGGATCAGCCACACCAGCCAGAAGCCTTTAAAGCATAACTACCAGGCTCTGCATTACAGCTGGATTTTTGGCTAGAGAGACTTTTCTCATGGAGACAGACTCTTGTGAAGGAGCTTGAGAAGGTTTCATCAACCCTAAACACAGGTGTTACACATGGCTCTGTTGGGAGAAGTCTCTCCTTACATATAGTCCTTACCGCCTTGTGATTTATTGTTGAACTGCTTCTCTAACTAATTTCAGGTGTGGAACTGCTGTACCTTGAAAAGCAGATTTTTATTGTCTTTCTGTAGGTCCTTTATGCTTCTTTACCTGACAAAGCAAATTGTGGTGCAAGGGCAAATGTCACCATTATTTGTGTTGATTAGTATTCTTAAATATTTGACTGTGGAAAGGTGTGAACTATACTAATCATTATAAATAAACAGATCTTTTTTCTTTAAGAAGTCATCAGCTGAAGAGATACCTGATAACTCTGCACTGTTACAAGATGGAAAGAAAGATGACAAACAAGGTATTCAAATAAATAACTATTTTTTTTCCACTAGGGATTAAATTCTGTGTGTTTTTAGTAAGCCCCTAAGTTTACTGACAGAAGAAATGGTACGTTTAATTTCTAAGCTGGCTATGTGTTGCTGTAGGTTTAAAGAGACAACTCACTGACAGCAGCTGAGTTAAAGACAAATAAATGGAGGGATTTGCTTCAAAATTAGCTATATATGAATGATATGAAATGCACCATCTAAAATATGTCTAGTTCTAAGGCAGTTAGTGTTAAACTTCTTTTTTAAACAAAATTCTAGTTGTTATCAGGAATTTTGTAAGAGTAAAGATTACGTTGGGTCCAATTTTGCATTTCCCTTTTTGCAGGAAACAGCTACGCTTCAAAATTAGTTTTTATTCCTATTTGAAAAAAAAACCAAAACCTGCATTTTCTTGCAAAACAAAAATTTTAGTCAAACTGGAATGAAAAAACTTCATTCATTCATTTCACTTGAAGTCTGTCAGTAGAAAGCCATGAAAAATTGAAATGGTCTTTTTCCAAGCAGTAGCTTCTATGGCTTCCAGAATTGGCACAAGATCATTACACAGTCATTCATTCCCTTTTATATTCCCTTTTACCAACCTTTCAGGTTCTTACTTGCTGTCTTTCAATTGTGGAAACAAAACAGTTGTGGGTATTTTGTTGCCTGATTCTCAGAGCTGCAGATTATGTATTAATTAAAATAAAAAATATCTTGACCTCCCAGGTGTCTACACATTAAGGTTGCATCAGAGGTGTGAGACCAGGTAGTCCACATTCCTGAATCACTAAGTTTGACAGATTCCCAGTGTCCCTGTTTCAAAGGAAGGTTATCAAGGTTGATGTGTGTTTGTAAAACATTTTGACAAGTCATCATATTCCAAGAAATTAGTGTTTTGTTGACAGGGTTTGTTTTGTTGTAAAATGCATTATGAACCACAGGAGGACTTGAACCTTCAAGGTTATGGCTTTGAAATGTCTAGGGAAGCTTTACTTTCTACTAAGAGGGTTTTTTCCCCCCTGTTTAGGTGAAAAACTTGTGCTTTGATTTTTGTAGCTGGCACGTTAAATCACGTGGGAACCTGTTTTGAGACATGCAGTCCTGCAGGACTGAAAATTTGACACAGATTCTTACCTTTTCAGCCAAAGAACAAATGCTTTTGTTCTACCATTTATTGCTATTCTGACAAAGCAGATCACTTTCCTGACTGAGGGGATCTCCCTGGAAGTCAAGGATCTGTAGTTTAGGACTGTAGAAGCAAATTTTCCTGCATTTTCAAAAGTATATATGTAAATTAGCTTTACTTTGTCAGATTATAATGTATTTAAATGTGGAAGATCATGTAAATTGAACTGGATCACAAGAACCAGACTTTTCTCACGTGTTTTGTTTGATAAAGGTGGATCACAGAATCCCAGAGTGGGTAAGGTTGGAAGGGACCACAATGGGTCATCTGATCCAACCTCCCTGCCCAAGGAGGCTCATCCCAGTGCTCAGGGTCATCATAGAGCATGAGAGATTTCCTTCCAAGTGGTCATTTAACACTGTTTTCAGTACAGTAAACGTATTGCAGTACGTTTAATTACACTATGAAGCATTAAAAACTTCTTTAAAAAGTCACCAGAAAGGATGCATAGGGTTCAGTGGAATGAGAATAAGCACTCAACCCCCCAAATTATCAGAATTTAAGGTTATTTGGCAACTTGGTCATAGGTCTTTCTATTCTTGACTTTTGTGCTCTTAGAAATTGTTACTTGTTTGAGTGTTTGGGTTTTCTGAGGGTATTTGGCTACTGTTCAAGTATGTTTGGTGGTATTAGATGTTCTAATACCAGTTTAGGTTCTTCTTTCTTAGAGCTGATGCCTGTAGATTTTACCTACACATAATTAGAGTAATTATCTTTTTATTCTCTTTTTATTTTTTCTTAAGCTCTTAAAGTAAGCACTACTTTCAAAACTATACCAAAGGAATTTCAGCACTTGACTGTGAAAACAGGTAAGAAAAAAATGCCATATGTTACTTACTCTAGAATCTTGACTAAATATTTTTATATCACAGTAAGCCTAGGTTAATTTTTGGAAGAACCTTTTGCTCTCATTTTACTACTGAAATTAGCTTTTACCTCATAATGACTACGACTTGCAAGATAAATATTAATTACTACTTCAGATTGTCAAAAGGTTTTCTTGCTTTCTTTCCCTCATTGTTACTGTATGGGCTCTTGATTCGTGGGAAATATTTTAACAGAGCAGTTTTAAGGAGTCTGAAGTTTTTCTGTGCTACAAACAAGATGCAAGGATGTGAATATTGTACCTTTTTGTAAAAACCTCATCTAAAGTATAGAATGACTATGTAAAGTTTCAGGAAACATTCTGAAATGGCTTATTTCTTTGTGAAAGCTAAGCTTTCATAGTTTGTGTTAAGGAGTTAAAAGAAGAGGACCTTTTGGAAACGCGGACCTGGAGGCACTTAAGACTCTGACGAAACCTTTTGATTCAGGGGGTGTTTCTTCGTTGAATCCAACCCTGATTTTTCTCTCCAGCTCCAACATACACTTCTTGTTCCTATCTTTCTGGAAAATGTTATTTTTGGAACAGCATATGTAAAAATTACTTAGTTGCTCCAGAAACTTCCCCTGCATTCAGTTCAGTTCCACTGACCTCCCTTGCCTTCCTCTTTGTTAGTCTCTTTCCTAGTGTGGTGAAAATGTTTGTAAGCCCTCCCTGGTCCCAGCCAAGCTAAAATTTGGACTTAACTTTCTTTTCCTTTTGCATAGATGATTTTACTCATGAAGATATCCTTGATTAAGAAAATGGACCCCACATGTCTGTCACAGCAGTTTTGTCTTACAGCTCGATTTATTCATGGCTTCTCAACAGCTGCATGCCTCATTTCCCAACTCTTTTTTTTTTTTCCTGGCTTCTTCCCAAACACTTGGCAGCTGCCAGATTTCCTATCTTCAGCTCCTATTCTTGAGTGATTGCTGCTTCTCCTTCACACACACGCACTCTTGCACTTCCCTCTCAGGGGAAGGGGAGGGTGGTTGCAGGACTTTCAGTTCTGTTCTCCTTCCCCCCAGTTTTGCCCAGGAGCATACAGGGGAGTTTTATTTTCAGTTCACCAAGTACATCTTCAGTACTCTTAGGTAAAAAAACCTACTGCCACCTGCATGTCTCCTTTGCCACCAACCTCTTTTCCACAGTGTCCTTTGTATGCTACTCAGTGAGGTCTTCCTGCTGCCTCTGTGCTGCTCCAGCAGTGTTGCTGTGTTTGTATACCAAGGGAGACGAGGGCAGAGTTTCACTCCATCATCGTGGCTCCTGCTGCTGTAGGGGTTCTGCTCTTGCTGTCCTGCACATTGAGGATTTGAGAAAGCACATTCTCAAGTTGCATGCTACAACTGATGTGAGAAGTAAAAATGTTTCTCCAGTGGACTAGATGCAGCATGGTAATTGAGAGGTAATTTCAGAATCAGTCACCACTCTGAAAGGTCACTGTAATCATTAACCTTCAGCATGAAAACTCAGTCGGGATGAAGTGGGAGAAATTTTACATGCCTCTTTGGTTATTTGGGTTGTTTATGTACTCAGGAAAGATAATAGTGCTGTACTTCATTATGTGAAAGTTTTCTTTGCCATCAGAAGGTCTAGAAATTTGAAATCAGTAAGAACTTTATAAATTCAGCATCTCTGAATATCTGGCCAGTTTATTTAGGCTCCAAAGTGCAAGATCACTGTTGAGCTTAGACTTTTTTAAGTATTGAGGGCCAAAATTGTGAGTGTTTAAATTGTGTTAAAGCATTTCTCCCTAGGCCACCAGTAAGAGATGAGTTAGTGAGGTTGATTTAGACTAGTGGGGAATGCTTTGTTTTTTTTTCCTTTAGCCACTTGGCATACTTGCACCTTTTATGGCACAGATTTCCTGTAAAGCGAGGAGGCACCTGTTGAGTATAAGGTATTAGGCTACAGCCAAAAGTTACTGAACTGTTATCCTCAGGAATGTTAAAATGAAGTTGTATTGTAGGAAGGGTGTAGGAGCAGATCTACACCCAAAACGGGAACCTTCACACTCTCCTTTGAATGAATAAATACAGTTCATGACTGTATGTGACTTTAGTTAGTGCAGACCAAGCTGTTCACCCGGCTCTACTACTCCAGGAGTCATACAGTGTAAATTATTTACTCAACAGTTTTAATTTATCCATTTCATGAAAGTTAGGCTTATGTATCCATGGCAATAGATATATGGAAAACTCATGAGCTGGATAAATAGTTTTGTATTGTCTTGCATGATTATGTCATGTATGTGTATAAACCTGCACCTCAAACACTAAATACGCACAGACTGAATGTACCAAAATAACTGCATATTTTATGGAAATCCTGCCACAATTATTTGCATGTCCTAATAATGAACTACCTGTTTTATAGTATTTTTTATATTACACTACTTCTTCTGAAAGGTAAAGCTAAGTCTAGGTATTCTGTAATTGTAGCCTTGAATTTCCTAGTTTTTTAAAAGCTTAAAAGAAAATCCTTGGCAGCAGTATTCTATTGCTATAATTTTTTATTAGTAGTCATTTTGGGATTCTCTCTTCCTTATGTACTTTCCTCTTTACCTCAACAGGATGTCCTTGGAGAGTTTGAATGTCAGTTTTACCTATGGGTTTTTATATGAAAGACTTTCTAAAAGTATAAGCAGAATTAGTCTCCATAAGAAAAGGAAAATCTGAAGGTTCTTAAACATGGTTTAGCTTGGAAAGGATTTATACTTCTATTTCTAAGTGGCATATTTAATAATTTTGCATGTAATTTAATAATCAGCAATTTCAGCACTGGAAAATTGGGTCATGTGGCTGTAGGGAAGCAGTGTCTGAAGTTGTATTCTCTGAGAGTTTGACACAGAGAGAGAGAGGAGGATTATCACCACTGCATATTTTAATATTAATTCTCTCTCCCTCCTTTAGTTGCTAGGAAGAGTTTGTTGCACAGAAATCTGGAATGACAGTGAACCAGTTTGATCATGGCAATAATCTTGGTTTCTAAGTGGTCATTTGTGTCACTGCCAGCTGCATTTGGGTTTATTCCATCCGAAGCACCAACTAGCACTGTGTTACCTTAAAAGCAGTTTCTTTTATGAAGATCTAATGTGTGACTGTACATGTGCCATATGCTCTAACTTGTGTTTTTGTGAACCTAAAGCCTCCTATGGAGAGTCTATGCAGTACTACAGTGCAGGCTATTAAAAACTCGGTATTTACCAACTGCTACCACTGGTAGTTCCTGCTCTTGTGTTTTGGAGGATCTGTCGTATTCTCAGGTAGTGCTGTATAGAAGCTGGTGATAAATGTCTGACTTGAAAGTAGGGATATATCTGAAGGAAACTGGAAACTGAGAATTATTTTTTTCCCTAACATACTTACTTGTCTTAAGTGTTGTACCTTGATTAGCAGATAGGGAAAAGTAAAGGGATTTACTTTGTGTGTGCATTGGGATCATTGATGCTGCTGTAATACCTTGAGGATGTCTCAGTGGGATGAATTTGAAAGCAATCATGCAGATACATTTTCTCATAATTGTCTGATGTTAGTAAGGCGAGTTACAGAAAAGACAATGTAAACCAAGCAACAGCCTCAAGGAATTACCTAGAAAAGATAAATCAGCGCTGTTGTTTTCCTGTCACGTAAGACCTGCATGTGGCAGGATATTTAGAATTCATCCAAATAAAAAAAAAACATTTTATATTGATAGAAATGTATTTGATCAGCATTTAGACTTGAAAGCTTTCTACCTTCCCAATGTCGAAATGGTCTCAACCCGATGTGTTAATTTTTTTTTTAATGGGTGATGAGATAATGTACATTTATACTAATTAGTTAAAGTATTTAGGAAGGACAAACCTTTGTGCTTTTGGAAGGAGGACAGCTAATAGATATCTGAACTAAGAAGATTTTTTCTGTAAAAAGTTTATGCTGTTCCTTATGTTGCTTGGTCATAACTACATCCATGAGTACAGGTCAGAGCTGCCAGACCTACTGCTTTTCCTGTATTGTGGTAAGCATATTAAAAAGATGAAGCTCTGCCTGTATGTGGGCTTTTGAATTCTTAGGACATTCAGACACTACAAAAGCAAAGGAGAAGGAGAAGTGAAAATCAATCCCCATTACTCATGTGAGATGAGCACACTCTCACATCCACATTTGCAACACTCACATTTTTCATGAACACTGATTCTGCAGCTAAAGGCATTTGTTTAAAATATGATGTTTTAGCAGTTCTTTTTTCTTTTCTGTTCCAGCTGCTCAGGAATCTAATGCACTTAAAGCCAGACCACGATCCAGGTACTGCTTTCACTTCTATTTCAGGAGAAATAGACACCTCTGGTGTTAGACACAGAGCATAAGAACTGGTGGTAGATTTTTTTTTTTTTAATTGATGTGGTACTGGAAGTACAGCTCAGATCAGACAGATTTACCAGGAGGAATCTGTAAGCTATAGACCCTACATAAGTACTGCTCTGGGGCCCCATGATCTCTGGTCATATGGTGCTGGAAGTTTTGCCTGTCTGCCCAGCCCTGCTCTCTTATCAGGGTGGTGACTGCCTCCAGCCCAGCCCCAGAGGCTTCCTGGCAGGACAGCTGGGACCACCCCATTGCAGGGAACATCCTCAACATTTTGATGCTCTTGAAACCTGCAGGGTGGTTTCATATGGAGGGAGACACTGCACATTGCCACAGAAACAACAGTAGTAGCTCAGCTCTCTGGTGTAGGTGAGTGAATCCTTTTGTTGGCATGTGTGTACTTGGCTACAGTTGGTTGATGTGTGATGGAAGGACTTAAGGACTGACACTGTTGTGTGCTAGAAGTGACACACACTGAACTTGGATGTTTGAAAGAAAAGGGAAACCTGTGCCAGAAAATATTGTGTATAAATGGATTGCATCTTGGGTTTGGCTGTTCACTTACTGGTGTATAGCCATATTGTTAATTCACCTTCCAAGTTTTCTTCTTTGGTGCCAGTTAGAGGATTCAATTTTTTTTTTTATTTTTTTTTCTTGGGTAATGAGAGTGTAAACAGGAACTCCCTGCTTACAAGCTTGTCAAAGTCTGCTAGTAAGAGAGGGTCAGCTATAAGCAGGATGATTGAAGATTGAAATCCTGTCTTCCTAGGACCTACATTTGGGAAGGCTGAACTGCCTTGCGTGCCTGTTTTTCTGCTGCTAGCCAAAGCTTTTTAGTTTTAACACAGTTTTAAATTTTCTTGCTTTGTTATTGAATTGCAAGTGCTCAAAAAATGTGCAAAAATGCATAAAATAGCAAATGCTTAAGTTCATAAAAAGTCACTTAAATGTGACTACTCTGTCACACATGAATGACTGTCTCCATCTGACTGTATGTCACTGGTTCAGTGCAGAAGTTGAGACTAAAGATGCCTCAGCACATCCTTGAACTCAGGCCTCTTGTGCTTGTTGAAAAATGGGATGAAATGCCACAGCTCGATTTATTTTTCTCTTTAAAGAATGACTGAAATGTTAAAAATAAGTGTATTAATGGACTTTAAACACCTGATAGGAATATATTCAGTAACTGAGAAAAGAGGTAAAAACATTGAAAGAATTTGTGGTGTGAATAGGAAATCTAATAAACTCGGTGATGATGATAAACAAATAGAATTGTTGGTGGCTCCTCCAGGAGGTCCTAAAAACTAATTCAGTGAGTGAGGGGGAATCTGACAGTCCCATGTCAGGCAATGTTAGAGAAAGAAGTAAATCAGGAAGTCCTGTGTCTAGCAGAACTAGGGGAAGAAGATGGAGTGATTAAGGCTCCTTTAAGACAAGCTGTGGGACCTGCTGGGAAAGCATTCTATGTGCACATACTGTTTACTAACTCTGATTTATTGACTTGGAAACAGAATGTTGGATCTTATTGTAACAATCCTGATGGGATGTATAGTAGTATTAAGTCTGTGATGATGACACATAACCCCATCTGGGGAGGTACACAAGCTTTGTTACAATATTTGTGTATTTATGTAGCAAAAAAGAGCAGGTTTAGAAAAAGGAAAGGAAGGACTGGGGGTGGGGGGGGAGATTGACGGGCTAGATCAGAAAATCAGGAATACCACATTGTGATGAACTTCTCCCTGAAGAAGATCCTGAATGGGATCTGAATGAAGATGTTGGATTAAAAAGAATAAAAGTATATCAAATGTTGATTTTGTATGGAATTCAGAATGGAGTGGAAAAACCCGAGAGTCTTGTGAAGTTGTATGAGGTAAAGCAAGGAGACACAGAATCTCCATCAACTTTTTTGAGTGGTTGTGTAAAGTGGCTCTTAAATGGACAGACTTGGACTTGGAGAGTGAGATGTTCAGTATATACTTTTTATCAGACAGTCAGCACTGGATATAAGGAGCCTGTTTGGCAAAAAATATTATCCATTTCCCATTAGTGGGAGTTATTTCTGTTTTACTTAAATGTGCTTTTGGTCTTGCCCTGACATGCATAATGTGTTACAGTGAGTATAACATCTCACATTGTCAGTGCTCATTTTGAACAAAGTCTCCTCCTTGCAGGAGAACTGTAACTACAACAGCTGAAAAATATCGGACAGTATTCAGCAAAATCAGAATTCTTAGCAAATGCACCGCCCTTAATTGGGATTAATTGATGTGTGAGGGCCTGGAAGATGTACTGAACCATGTATTTGACCAGTTTTGGTCACTGGAGCTATTCAGTTTTTCTGGGTTTTGTGGAATTAGGTGACTGTATGCTATGAAAATTTTTTTCTAATAGAATTTTTAAAAATTACAAAATGTGTACTTGCAAGAGGTATGTTGAAGCTATACCTGTATAAACACTCCCCTTGCAGTTAGAAAAGGCAACAGAAGCTCTAAGGGGTGTGTGTATGGGGCGTTCTATTTGGATTTCTTCAAAATAGTTGCTGCAATTATCGTGTTGACAAAGTTACATAAGAAGGCCTGAAGCTGTGTTACAAAAGACCTTAAAAAATACTAGCCCTGTAAGCATGACTCGTTCCTTTCTCCAGACGCTTGGGTCCCTCTGTTGCCAAATAAATCTGTCTTGTTATAAGGGGGAACTTTTAGTCATTAGGGCAAGGAATTTCCACCATGAACCTGAGTTCAGGTCAGTGTATTTTTAGGTACTAATCACTGTAGCTGTGTAAAATTAACGCTTTTCCCCTACCTATTTTTCCTTAGGTCTTATTCTAGCACATCAATAGAAGATGCCATGAAAAAGGGAGAAGAGCCCCCTACTCCGCCTCCAAGGCCTCAGAAGTCGCATTCCAGAGCTTCCTCTTTGGATCTGAACAAAATATTTCAGCAAAATACACAAGGTGAAGTTTGCTTTCTTTCCTGTTTTTGAGACCTTTTAGGTTAACTGCATGCTGGGCAACTTGATCTGTTTGCACAAATGCTTGACAATATGTGCACATGCTGGCCTTTGCTGTAGACAGTATTGTGCTACAGAAGAGGAGTAGTTGCACTTGCGTTACGTCGCCACTGAAGGGAAAAATCACTGTTGCTGTAATTAAGGTGATTATAATGTTTTCTGGCACAATAATGGGAAGCTTAACATATGGTAGTCTGTCATCACTGACTGTTTATAACTAGGCTGGCTGTTTAGACAGCTCTCATCAGTAACTGCAATATAATTGATTTTTATTACAATTTATTTTTTGTAGTTCAGAAGCAGTAAGAAAACCCTTAATGTTTAAACTGGGAGAAAGAAAGCAAACATTTTAGATGTTAAAGTCTACCATATGCGTATGGACAATGAAAACACTTTTTGAGTAAAAAGAAAGGGTAATTTCTTTTGACACAGGTGCATGTTGAGGGGAGAGAAAGAAAATGTAGAATAGTAGCTGGGGTGAACTGAAAGAAAATGGCTTTTCATCATGTTACTGTTCAAGTGTGCCTCTTGCCTTGCACAGTGAACAGTGAAAAGAGGAGCTGTTTGTTCACGGGCAGCAGTCATCCAGTATTGCTGTGCCTCACCAGTGTCCTTGAACCACGTAAGAGGTTTATATGGGGCACACCAATCATCTGACTCAAGGACCAGGTTAAACATGGTCATGCTTATGCTTCAGAAGAAAGCCAAGGTTTGACTGTGTCAAGGAATGTTTGACTGGGCTCTGTAATGTGGTTTTGAAGTAGAAGTGTTCTACCTCTTGCTCTGTGGGACTTTGTGCAAACACTAAAGAAAATTCAAGAGTCCCACTATGTGTGCTGAACCCTATTATTCCTATTCAATAGGAATAAAATTGTTTACTTTTTGGTTTTTTTTTTTGTTTGTTTGTTTGTTTGTTTTTTTTACCTTACATGGAGAAGTAGTTCCTTATCTTTGACTATGGTTCCTGTTGAGAGATATGTTGCCTCCAATTTTGATTTTGTTATACATCAAAATAAAACCCCAAACAGAGCCAAGTACACATTTTATAAGGCAAAAAATCTTCTCAGAATCCAGATAACAAGTATAACTGGAAGGAAATAAACTTGGATTTAAGTTTTGCTTGGAACACAAAAGAAGAATGTAAATTCTCAAAGAAGTCATTCTGTGAATGAAAATTAACATTTTGCTTTTGCAGTGGATCATTTTGAAAGTCACTATTAATTTTGAAGTAACATAACACTCTCAGGCACGTGATGTGATTCTTGGGGTGTCCAGTGCAGGGCTTCGGTGATGCATTTGTGTCCCTTCCAACTCCTGATATTCTCTGAGTCTGTATATGTCCAACATGATTAAAATAGTTCTATTTTGGCATATTAGTTTTTGTCCTACTAGTTCTAGTTCACAAATAATTCCTATTTGGGGAGTTTGGTGGATAATCTGCTTCCAGACCTACAAAGGAGTGCTCAGTAATATTGAGCTCTGTTTTCAGTTCCACACAGGTCATGTTGATCTATAGCTATCACTTCTTTAATTGTAAAGCTGTCTGTAGTTTGGAGCATTTATTTTATTTATTCCCTTTTTAAAGGGCAGAAAAAGAGAAATAGCTTTTCTTCAAGTAAATTCAGTCAAAGACTGTGGCAGATCCTTGTTGCGGGCGATGGTGGGGGTTTTTTTGCAGTGTTTTTTTGTTTTGGGTTTTTTGTTACTCATTTACTGCTGCTGTATCATGTTTGTCACCATCTTACTATGCCTCTCTCCTGGCAAGTATACACACAGAACATTTATCCATGATGACTGGGATGTCCAGCAATGCATTAACCACAGAAACTGTGCTTTAAAATTGTTGAATTGGGATGTAACTGGACTTGAAGGAGGCATCTTCATTCATACTTCATAGCTGCACTCCTCTGGGATGCTGTAACTAGTGTTACCTAGGAAAAACGTAAAAAAAGCAAGAGAACTTATTGAAAGCTCCCACTTTCTCAAATATCCATGTATGAATTTCTGTTAGGAGATGTTAAGAGACAGAAATCTTACTTTTTTTTTTTTTTTAAATGCATGTAGTCTTTATGTTGGCATCTGAGCATCTGAGAAAAATTCTGTACTGCTAGATTCTTTATGTATTTCTTTTTGTTGAATATGTAATCTCTGGCATTTGGGCTGTGTATGTATTAAGAAAATACTTGGCTAGAATGTATGAATTCCTGGAAGGACAACAGCAGGCTTTAAGTAGAAACAAAAATGTCAGTTTAAATGCATACTTGACCTAGTTTACATCTTCATTTCTTCTCTAGCCCACTCTAGTCATTTACAAGCCAAGCTTCCAGAATAAGACCTGGGTATTGAGAGGGCCAAAACTGGGGCAGCTCAGAGCCTGACAGTCCTGCAGCAGAGCCCCCAGCAGTAAGCTAGAACCTGTTCTTGAGGTAACTCTGGGGCTGGGGCAAGTCTCAGCTTAAGTATTAAAACCCAAAAATGCATCCATTGTCTTCTGGTGTTTTGCTCAGTTACGTTTTCTGCCCACGACAACTACTTAAAGAATTTACTTCTGGGCAATTAATAGGCAGTGACAGCAGTCTGGGTCTTGTTAGATTCATACAGATGCCTCTGAAATACAATTTATTTCCAATTAGTTTCATTTCTGAATCACATAACCATTTTTAATTAACAGTTCTGTTGAACAAAGGATACTTGTTGGGAAAAGACCATTTTCTTTGATGAAACAACAGAATTGTCATAAACAGTGTAGTTTCATGTTGTTCTGGAAGCAGGTTGAATATTGCTGTGTGATTCAACAAAACAGCCATATAACTATTTACAGATGAATTTTTGACTGAAGATTTTCAGCACTCATTTGCTTTTGGAACTCACCTCCTGCTGTGGCTGTCCCTGCAGTGAAGAACGTGTGGAATGCAGGCACCATTTTTTACATCAGCTCTTAAGCAAACACTCAATGTAACCTGGATTTGCTCCTTCTGGGGTGCTGCTTTCAGCCAGCAATGTGGGGCTAATTTTGGGGGATTTTTCTCCCTTTTAAAATATGAGATGTTAAGTTCCACACTTGGGGGGAAACACAACAAGCATTTTGTTGCAAGTGCAGTATTTTCTGTTACAGATGATGTTTTCCTGGTTACAGTCAGATCTGTAACCTCTACTTGGCATTGCTGCGCTATGATGACTACCAAACAAGAAAACATCCCTTTTGCTCTAAACATAGTGTTCACAGTATGGAAACAAAGGAAGAGATTTATTGGTGGGCATCAGCATTCCCAAAAGTGATACAAATGTGTCTGCACATCACTTCTGTACTCCTTCATATACATGTTTCTCATGCAGTTTAAAGTGGTACTTTTATTGTTAAAACTCACTACAATCTTCTTTCTGCACCCTTTCGTTTTCATTAGCACCAGGAGAAAACTGTGTTCAGCATCTATTTTGTCTTCTTTTTCATACCGTTGAAGAAGAGTCTTCATTACTTCCTTTGCTCCATCAAACTCTCATGATTTCATTCAATTAGAACATCCTTTCCTTGAGCATACAGGCTTGGTGGGTTTTATTTGCCAAATGTGGAGATTTGTGCATAGTTAAACATACGTCGAGATGTCTTTGTTTTTCCGTATTTGCCTAACTACAGTCAAATTCTTTGTATTTCTGAATTGTTTAAATCTACACGACAAATAAAACCATTCTGTAATTTTGTAAGAAGCAGGATTTTGAGAATTAAAATCATGGTTGCTCTGGTGTCATATGTTTTGATACAAAGAAGCCCAAATAGTTACCATAATACAGTGTTTCCAGTTGTTTTCAGGAATATCTCTTCAGCTAAATTGTCTTTTTAACTTAGTGAGCCAAATGCGGGAGACTTTCCCTTTTGTACATGTGGAACTGGTACCAAAAAACCTGTGAAATTTAACCGAGATAAGTATGATTACTGTATTATCTTCTGTATTCTTTTATGCTTAATTGTATTTGCTGGGAAATGTATGTGTTCACTGAGGTTAGCTGTCTTCAAGACAGTTACTAAAGACAAACTTTTAAGGGGTGATTCAAGGAATTATGTTTTTGTGTTGACCATAAATACAGATTTCTTAACTAAAATTTTATTTGAAAGCCAAAGTGACATGGAGGAACTTAGAATAGTAATGTTCTTTTTTTAAGACTGAATTTATATCAAAATGAATTTAATTAAGTAATTAATTTTCAAGACTTCTTTCTCTCATGGCTTTTATATTAGTCTTGGTTTAGTAAAATCCAGCTACTTTCTTGAGTTTTGCTCATGCTGTAGTACAGTACTGTCTTGCATGTTACTGTGTTGAGTTTATTAATCAGACCATTAAATATTAAATTAGGAAGATGACAATTCTGAAGGACCTTTATTTTAGAATAATAACAAATACCATCAGCAAAACATGCCATTTCATGAATATTGTTTGCGTGGTGTACAAGAGCTGTAATGTTGCAAGCTTTGTCAAGTGAGGAGTGTAGAGTCAAGTTCATGACTTTGATTGTAAGGGTTGTTACAAATTTAAATTAAAAATGTCTTATGCATAAAACACAGAGAACACAAAATTGGGCTGCTTATCATATTTTTCTCTGGCTATGAAACACTTTTTTAAAATAATTGTTGCAAAAATATTTTTTTTGAATTGGAGAATAGATTTTTTTTTTGGGGGGGGGGACACAGTTCCTGATCTGTTACTGGAGCTACTGTTTTCTTCTAGTCCTATTCCTCTTCAGAATATGTGATCACTGAACTGAGCTTATTCTGAATAAACTGTTAATGTCTTCTTTCTGATTTGAATGGAAGAGTTTTACGCCTCTCAGTCTATCAGAAGTTTTTATGAAGGATTTATGTGTTTACAACTATGTAACTTATTTCTTTGCCCAGCTGGATAAGAACATAATTAAAGTTGAATAAGATGGAGAAAATAGTGACAGCATTAA